CGGGGACTGGACGTTATGTTCACATGACTCCAGTTCTCCGTCAGCTTCACTGGCTTCCCATTGAAGTCCGGGCCCAATTGTTGTAACGACATATGCTCCCCCTCTGCCCCCAAATCCTGCAAGTAGAAAGGTGAGATCCTGCAACCAGAGAGCTCTTGTTCTGAAACTGGGATCTAACTGGATTGGTGCACAGACTTGCGCACGGCAGTTGCACGGTTGTTCATCCGCTTGTGCAATTCTGCAGTTCCTACAAGGAAGGAGAGCCTATTTGCCACAACCAGGAATGAGTGGATCCCTGCCATTTGCGCTACCTTCTCTTGTAATGTACGCCTTCCTTCAGCTTCGGCTGATTAATCAGCTGCGCCCCTACCTGGAGTACGACTGCCTGGCGACAGTGACACACGCGCTGGTGACTTCCCGCCTAGACTTCTGTAACGCGCTTTACGTGGGGCTTCCCCTGAAGGCAGTCCGAACACTTCAATTGGTGCAAAATAGAGCTGCCAGGTTGCTGACGGGGACGGGGCGTTATGCTCACATGACTCCAGTCCTCCGTCAGCTTCATTGGCTTCCCATTGAAGTCCGGGCCCAATTCAAGGTGTTGGTGATGACCTATAAAGCCCTTAATGGCTTGGGTCCTGGTTACCTGAAGGAGCGCTTACGTCCATATATGCCTGCCCGCCCCCTGAGAACAGTGGGAGAGGCCCTTCTTCGGGAACCCTCTGTGAAAGAAATTAGGAGGGTGGGTACTTGGAGGAGGGCTTTCTCTGCGGTGGCGCCCAATCTATGGAATGTGCTCCCCAGAGAGGTCCGCCTGGCACCGTTGTTATTTGTTTTTCAGCACCAGGCGAAGACCTTTTTATTCAAATGTTATTTTAATTGTTAATATTTATTTATTTTATTCTTTGGCCAGGCTGACTTAATTTATATTGTTTTATTGGATTCTATTTATTTATGGTTGTGAGCTGCCCCGAGGCTTCGACGAATGGGGCGGCATGGAAGTCCCCTAAATAAAATAAAATAAGTAAATTAGAGGATCTGCACACACAGAGGAGCCATGCTCATTTTCAGAAGGCCCCTCCCGAAGGGATGGGACCCACAGGTGCTCCTAAGGAGAGCTCCTGGAGAGCCAGGGTGGTGTAGTGGTTAGGAGCATGGGACTGGGACTCAGACGATCTGGGTTCTAGTCCCCGCTCAGCCATGGAGCCAACTGGGTGACTTTGGGCCAGTCACAGACTCTCAGCCCAGCCTACCTCACAGGGTTGTTGTTGTGGGGATAAGATGGAGGAGGAGAATAATGTAAGCTGCCTTGAGCCCTTTGTAGGAAAAAGGCAGGATATAAATCGAAATCGAAAATAAATAAATAAATAAATAAATGCTGGACTGGGTTCAACAAACCACCTCATTCATGCTCAGAGATCCATTCTGGGTGTTAGTGTGTTTTGGTCAATAAAGAACACTTTGCAAGAAAAAGTCAGTGGCTTTTGAACACACAGAGGACAAATCCCAGCTGCCGACACGGTTTCCCTTAATCTGGCTATAAATACATAACCAACAGTGGACAGGCATTGATTGATTAATCGCACTGATCAGATATCCTAAGAGCCATTTCACAGGATATCACGGTAACCCATATCACCCATATTTTTGTTACAATTGTATTAATTATATTATCTATTATATTAAATATAATATAAATTCATGTGCCTGCCAAGCTACACCAGTGCCTCCAGTTAGAATTAATTTTTCTATCGATGTATTCTAAGAGGAGTTTTATACCCCCAAAAAAGAATTGCATTAAATAGTTATTTGGAATAAGCTTCTGTTGAACATCTTGGATGCAACTTGCATACTTCCACTGTTGCTCTAGAGAGGAACATTACCCTGCGTTTCACAGTCTAAATTTGTGTCTCCTATCACACTCTGTGGTCCAGGCGCATTGATTATAGTTTTGTGCAGTTACGGGATGGTGAGGTCCTCATAGCTATTCCCACATACTGTTTTTTTACAGTGTCAACTGCTTTATACCATATTAAAAACCTGTCCAAGAGGAAAATCCTGTTAAAAGATTCCCTTCCCCTTGAAATAAGGACAAGATACGGAATGCATGTGGTCTACCTGAGAAGCTCTTCTTGTTCCAGACAAGGGTAGGGCTTTTCCAAAACCATTTGACAAGAGAACAGTAAGGGCAGAAAAAAACAAGGGTGTGTATCATAGGCAAAGAGAGTTCTGCAAATATTTCTCTAAAGAAATGCCTTCTGTATGTAGGATTGGGGGGGGGGGGGAGTAAAACCCACTCTGAATTAACCACTAGATGTCCCTGTTGGTTTTGTATATCCTAGTGAGATTTCCCCAACGTTTGCCATGATACAATCGCTGTGAAGGTGACAATTGACTTTCACCTTCACTGGTTAGTGAACCATGTGGATGAATTCTGCAGAGATTCTTCAGGTACAGCCATGCAGTCTATAAAACGAACTCCGATTTGCTTCTCCTTTGTGTATTATGTCATCTGGTTCCCTCTGCTCCTGCCAATCCAGTTCCCACTTCCTGGCGCTTCTGCCTGTTTGCCGGCACTTCTGCCTGGCCCTTGGCACAGCTTGGGCACCGTTTCGTGCGGAGACTGCCAGCAGAATGCTGCGCACCTGCAGCCACCCCAACAGGCTTCTTCCGATTGCTTTAAACAGAAGGCACTATCATGTGTGTCTGACACAATTGAAGGGAGACCCAGGTCATCCCTGCTCTGCTTAGCTCAGTTCTCATAATGAGTGCCATTATTTTTCGGGAGCATCTTGAATGTGTTTCCAGGTGTCTGCCTCTTCTTTCCAGTTGCAGATTTATTGTGCTTGTAACATGTTCTACTGCCACAATGTAGTGCTTTTTTTCTTACTAACAAGACCTGCTGTTAGGACATAATCTTGCCCATCCGTTGCAGGTGGCCTTCAATATTTGGAGGGATATTGGGCTGTGCACTTAGACACAAGGGCAGCCTCTTGGGGGACATACTTAGCCACACAGGTGCCCTAGAAGGCACCTTTCAAGGTCCACCCTCCCCCAAAACCCATGGGGTCACCCAACTACTGCACTCCCTTGTTAGGCAGATCTTTGCTGCTTGCACTGGCTAGCGAACCTGATACGGCAAGTGAAAGCTTGTCACTTTCACTGCAGGATTCAATTCCTTTCCAGAATTACGATTGAGGAACACCGTGGGTTTCTTTGTACATATTCATATGTAAACTGCTTAGAGATTTTATTAATTGAAGCAGTATGTATTCCAAATTGATAATATAAGAACCTTTGAAAACGAAAACAGCCTCGTTTCAAACATCAGCAAAGGCATTGGAGGGGAAGGGAAGCGGCATCCCTCAAGGAAAGGGCTGTCGCATCTTAATGTCAGGATCAGAGCCTGGGTCACCCACCAAGCAAGCTCCCCTGCAGGCGCTCGCAGGGCCGTGCAGGTGAGGCAATTAAGCTGCGCCACTAGAAGTCCTGCGGAGCGGCACGGAAGGCTTCACGGCACCGCTGCTCCTCGCCCCAGCAACACGAGCTATTTGGTGGCTTTCTCGTTGCTCTGGCTTTGAGCTTCGCCTTGCTCCAAGCCCCTCGACCGGTTGGCCAGTCAGCCTGCCTGCCTTTGTCCGGCCCAGCTGCAGCCCGTTCGTGCTCGCATCCCATCTCCAGTGACCTGCACCCCTCCTCCTCACCTTTGCCTCCCCCCCTGGGCGCAACTGTCTTTCTGGCACGTGGCTCTTGGACGGTGCTCTAGAACCTTTTGCTTGCCT